GGGTTTTACCCGGGTACCCGGGTACCCGGTTCTGACCCGCTGCCCCCGGCACCGGTTTCCACGGGTTTACCCGTGTGACCCGGTTCCCGAATATGCCGTATAACGATCTGCACGCGGCGCGCCCCTTTCGAACGACGGCGCCTTGCCGGCTCTGACGATTACTGACGCAGCCTTCCCTAGCCGCTTCGGCCGGGTCGCCGGGTGCGCTCTCGCATGTCGGCGCACCGGAGTCTGCACCGGGCGAGAGGTGACCACTGCTGGCCAATCACGACTCGAGATTGTGCGACACACAAAGTTAGCTCGAGACGAGCGATGCCCAGCATGTCATTCGCGAAAGTACCAGGAAGTGACCGGGTCGAGGTGTTGTGTGTTGTGTTATTTTGTATTGTCCATGTCATCTGATTCACGCTACACCAGTTGGGTGTGGGATCATTTTCTGAAACCCACACCTGATGATCCCGGGCGAGCGGAGTGTAAATTGTGCATCAAGAAAATTGTTTACAAGGGGTCACCGTCGGCGCTCAGCAAGCACTTGACCGGGGTGCATAAACTCCTGAGACCGACGCAAGTCGGAAATGACGGCAGGTAAGATTCAAGTGGGGCTTCCCTCTCGACCGCGAGGACGCAGTGGGGCGGAGCTCATTCGTTTGTATTATTTTTTGTTTGCTGGAACTGCAACTGAACGGTGTTCTCGTTGCAGGGAGGATTTTGTTGACACGCCAGACGACGAGGCAGGCACGAGCCGCGGCCGTCAACACGATGGTGAGGGCCATGGTGGCGAGCACAGCGGCCACGTCCAGGGCCCCGCGCCCAAGCGCCCCCGTGTCGCTGAGCGGCCACTGAGCCAGGAACGGCAAGAGGCGGTGAGCCAGGCCATCGCGATGTTGATCGCGACGTGCCAGCTGCCCATCTCAATTGTGGACACGGAGGGTTTCACCGCGTTCATGAAGGTACGTCCCAACACGTCAACCTCCCTTTCATACTGAATGTTTACATGCGTTGTAATGTTTATGTTCCACATAACGCCGTGTCGCATGCACATGCACGTATTGTCCTGTCGTTGCAAATGTTTTTCACCACATCATGAGCATGTCAGGCAGATTGTCATGGATGCGACATCGCGTTGTATTCCGCCCGCCCCGGTGCCCCATTTTTGAACGGCAGATTAATTGTTGTTTGTTGCCCCTCATAGGTCCTTGAGCCAGCCTACAAAGTCCTCTGTGCAGAGACGACAAGGAAGCGGATTCATGCCCTCTACGCCCAGGTCCGCGACGACGTGCAGGCAGCCCTGAGGGGGCTGGACGCCGTCTCCCTGACCACCGACTGTTGGACGTCGCGCGCCCTGGACTCCTACATGTCCCTCACAGCGCACGCCATCACCAAAGCCTGGCGGCTGTGCCGCTACACCCTGTGCACGGAGGGCTTGGAGGAGAGCCACTCGGGGGACAACCTGGCGATGGCCCTCCTCGACATGTGCCACGCTTGGGACCTGGAAGGCCGGACGACGAGCGTCACCAGGGACAATGCGTCCAATATCGTCAACGCCGTCGACAACTTGCTGGACTTCGGCGTGGAGTTTAACGTGTCGTGCGCCGCCCACACCCTCCAGCTCTGCGTTGACGACGCCTTGAAGACCAACCAGGTGTTCAAGGCCGCCTGCAAGAAGGCCAAGCGGGTGGTGGCACACTTCCACCACTCCACGAAGGCCACCACGGCGCTCGAAAGGGCGCAGTCGACGGCGGGCGTGAAAGAGGTGAAGCTGGTGCAGTCTTGTGCGACGCGCTGGGACTCTACCTACTTTATGTGCAAGAGTTTGGTGGAGTCCCGCACCCACGTGCGCGCCGTGCTCGCCGACCGTGCCGTGACCACAGTGAAGCAGTCCAAGGCCCTGTTGATGACGACGGAAGAGTGGGATGAGCTGGAGGCGATGCTGCCCGTCCTCAAGCCACTGCAGGTCGCCACCACCGTGCTGTGTGCCGAAGACAAGGTCACCATTTCGACGGTGAGGCCCATCGTGCGGTCCCTGCTCGACGTGCACTATAAGTTGGACGACGACCTGGACCTAGACCCGACCCCCGGGGATGAGCGCCTGCGCGCCTTCAAGCTGGAAGTCAGCAGCAGCCTCAGGAAGCGCTTCCAGATGGACGCTGCCCCGGAGCGCGCCGTCCTGGTCCAGCAGGTCGCCTCGCTGCTCGACCCGCGCCACAAGAACCTGGCCGCCGAGCCGAGTGCTGCCGAGGCAGACAAGGCCCGCGACTTCGTCCGACAGAAGCTGCAGGCGGAGGCAGGGGTTGCCATGTTCAATCAGGACGCCGAGGACGAGGGCGACACGCCAGCCGCAACCAACGGCCTCGACTTCCTGTTCGGCGGGGCGTCTGCGGAGGCTGAGGGCCCTCGTACTCGTACGTGGCAGGCGGAGTACGAGGCGTACTTGGCGGAGCCTCAGATCGGCCACAACCAGTGCCCGCTGACCTGGTGGAAGAGTCATGAGAGGATGTACCCGACCCTGGCTCGACTGGCCCGCCGTTACCTTGCAGTCCCTGCCTCGTCCGCGAGCAGCGAGAGGGATTTCTCCACTGCTGGCAACACAGTGCGGCCCAACCGCTCTTCTCTTCTCCCAGAGAATGTGTCCGTGTTGGTGTTCCTCTACCAGAATAGAAAAGTTCTTTTGAAAAACCTATCTCTCTTCTGAATTTTTTTCTTCTAATGGAGACTTATTTGTTTTTTGTTTTTAGCCCGCCCTTCTGCTTTTAAAAAAGCATTAAAGCGGGCTTATGCAACCGCTCTCGTGTCTGTCTGTCTGTCCGTCTGTCTGTCGTCCGTGTAAGAGGAAGGAGATGAGCTAGAGGTCTACAAATTTCAGGGTATCTTAGGGGTCACTCCTGGACAACGAAACGCC